TATTTGACATATAGACAAGTAATAAAAAATAGTAGTGTTTAATTATTGATTTCAATATCTCTTCTTTTATGTGATCCTTTCTTCATCTGCAAATTGCCACATTTAATTGTATTTATGTTCATCATTTTTTTCCTCTCTCAATTTTGGTGGCATCATAAATCATAATCGCATGACAAGATATAACTATAATTATATGTGATAAGTTCTATGATTCACTATATTTGTTTGGTAACAATCTCTTATTTCTTCACAATAATTTTTTAATATTATATTGTACGATATCAATTTCTGAACTTTTAATTTGTTGATTGTGTGGGAGATGTGATGAATACATTATTGTTTGGGATAAACGTGCAACACACATTTCTAGATACTAGTATTATTAAAAGTATGAAGCTCCAAAGTGCAAAGTTGAATTATCATTTAACTTTTACACTCAATTAAATATTTAATTAGCTAAATGGAATATTAAATAACCCCCCCCCCCCTCTCCGATCTCATATTAGTTGATCATTATACTAGAAATAATTATCACATATTAGTTGTCCACCTTACTAATTAAATCAAGAAAGCATTGATTTATTTATTTTTATATTACCCTTGCAATAAATTCTTTTGAAAGTGATCACATTTGTTTGTAAAAATTCCAAAAAGTTTTTTAAGGAGTGAATTAGTAAAATTATCTTTTTATTTATGATTTCTCAAGCATCGTACAAAATGAAAAAGTGATCAATTAATATAGGACAACGGGAGTATCATATATATTATACTTAATACTAATGGAAAGGTGTTAAGTCAAAAGTTGAATGGACTTTTAAATGCAATTAAATGAGAAAATATTAAGAAAGATGAAAATTAATAGATCATGGTTTTAAGACCCTTCATTTCTACAAATTAATTTATGAAACTCTAATCTTTTCATTTTCTCATATTTAATGAAGGAAAAAGTTGGTCTTGTAAACTACCCCCTTTCTATTTATACGCCATCATTATAGATTTCACGTCACTTAAGAAATTAGGTAAGTTCTCATTGCACCCTTATTTAGTATTCTCTTGAAAACAAGTTTTCGATAAATGAACATAAATTAATTTATTTGACCAACAAACATGAATTAATCATTAGTTACATGAATTAATCATTTAGTTTTCCTAATTCATATTTTCAGGTTAATAACTCTCAAAGGTAAAATAGGAAAAATAGTACTCCCCCCGTCCCATTTTATGTGAGGTAGTTTGACTCGGCACATAGTTTAAGAAAGAGTGGAAGACTTTTAAAACTTGTGCTCCGAAATGAATGATAGAAATTTGTATGAATGTAAATCATTTCATTAAGGGTAAAATAGACATTTTATAGTTAAATTGTTATTTAATATAGAAATGTGTCATTCTTTTTTAGACTGACTAAAAAGGAAAGTAAGTCACATAAATTGAGACAGAAGGGGTATTATTTATATATTGATTTTGTGAAATGATCATAAGTATTAAAGAACATCTATTTTCTTTTAATAAGGACGACATGTAATAGGAATAGAGGGAGTATAAATTAAGACAATATTGGACAACATCATATAAATCATGATAAATGGTAGTGTTCAATTGTTGATTTCAAAGTCTCTTCTTTTATTTAATTCCATCTTCATCTACCTATTATCATATTTAATTGTATTTATGTTTGTCATTTTTTTCTTCTCTCAATTTTGGTCACATTATAATCGCATGACAAGATATGATTATAATTATATGTGATAAGTTCAATGATTTATTATATTTATTTAGCAAGAATTTCTTACTTCATTACAACAAAAAAAATTTGTTGGACAATATCAATTTTTAAACTTTTAAAATATGTTGATTGTATGAAAAATATAATAAATACATTATTATTTGAGATAAATATGCAAACAGAGACTAAGGGGTCGTTTGGTAGGGAGTATTAGGAGAAAAAGTCCAAGTATTATGTGTGGTATTATTTAGTACTATGTTTGGTAAGAATTTTGGGTCTATGTATAACTAATCCATGGATTAGTTATACACCCTACATGGTATTATAGGGTGTATAACTAATACCTTTCATTTGGTGGTATTAGTAATACGTGAGATCTAATACCATGGGACTAATCTAGGTAAAGACAAAAATACCCCCTTAAATCCTTTTAATCATTTTATTTATTTTCTTAATTTTATGTTTTATATTTATACAAATAAATTTATTTAAATAAATTAGCTTACGAATTTTATTATTTAGACAAAGTTTTTTGTTGCTAAAATATGAGTTATTTAATCTATTTATTATTAATATAAAGTATTATAATCCGACCGATACACTAATGTTGATGTATGAATTTAAGAATAATTCATAAGTCAAATATTGCCTCTTAACGAAAGTCCATTGAAACATTATACACAAGTAAGCTAACACAAGAGTGTGTATATATATATATATATGTGTGTGTGTGTGTGTGTGCGTGTGTGCGCGTGCATGTGTGTGTTTGCATTGCCTAAAGATAGATTATTATCTTCATTTGCACAACTTGGACCTGGTGACCAAGTAGCATCTGCAGAAATTATGGAAATCCACTCATGAAAGAGATCAGAAATACAAGTTAAGCAATGCATTAAAATTGAGTTTTCACCTACTTTCAAATGAAGTTCTCTTTCAGATAACAATTTTATATATTAGTTAAGAAACTATTACACTGAAAAAAATAAAATAAAAATTATTCAAATTAGACCAAATAATTTAATTTTATATGATGATGATCGTTTCCTCCATAAGAATCTAATCAATTTTCAAAATAATTTTTTAAAAAAACATCTCGAGTATAAAAATAGTTTAGTTTATTTTGCTATTTTTATTTTATTTTATGATAACGAGTGTTTTTTTTTTAATTTATTGATACAAAATAAAGTTCAATAAATTTTCTCTATAAATTATTATAGTTGTGTGACCTTTTGAGATATTAACTCCAATTTATTAAGATGACAATTATTTACCCTCAAATAATTTAAGTGAGAAAATAGTTAACATGGCAATAAAAATTTTATTCTCCTAGCTAGTTAAAATGCTATAAAAAAATAATATTGTCTGTTAATTATCTACCTTGACCCAACTACATGAAATAGAAAATCCCATAATAACTCAAGGGTATAATTGGAAAGAATTATTTTTGTAGAGCTTTAAACCACACACAAAACTAGGTGAGAAACAATGAACCAAACACTTGATAAAAATAATCCTTGCATTACTAATCCATGCATTACTAATCCCTGCATTACTAATCCCTGCATTATTGATCTTTGTACCAAACGACCCCTAATAGTATAAAATATTGCTTCCCTGTAAACGTGACATATTATAGACTCTCTAGCTCATCTAGGTAAAAAAAAAAAAACTTGCAATCATCAAGTTGTGTACATAAAAGACATTTGTATTATTTAAAAGAAATAAAATATTTACTATTGGACGTTAAATTTCAATGGGTTAGGTCCTTTTCTTTTGCGAGCTGAATGCTTTGAAAATAAAGGCTTATTCATAATTTTAAGAATTTGTGCTTTGATTTTATAACAACCCTATTAATTTAATAATTTAAAATTTATATGTATTTAATAATTTTCACGCATATAAGTAGTGAGACTACTTCATCGTTAATCACATGTCTCGAGTTTGAGCTCTGAATATACAGAAAATCATGTTGGAAGTGCCCCAAAATGGTTCATGTAGACTGCAGAGGCTTATTCATAATTTTAAGAATTTATGTTTTGATTTTATAACAATCCTTTTAATTTAATGAATTTAAAATTATTATTTATATGTTTAATAATTTTTACACATATAAGTAATGAGACTGCTCTATCGTTAATTAAATATTTCAAGTTTGAGCCCTGTATATGAAGAAATCATGTTGGGAGTGCCCCCAAAATGGTTCATGTAGGCTGCAATGTGCGACCAACTTTAGTCGGAGCTCCATGGGGTGTGGTTATGTAGGAAAACTTGGTGCGGTAAGAGTACATCAAATAATTGAATTTGCAATTATGGTGACTTGACTTGGCCAAAAATATTAAACTAAAAAGAGAAGAAGGTGACCTTACTATCTGCCTTTGTCATACCAAGTTGACTTTTTCTTCATAAATACTTTTCAATAATTTGGAACCAAATTACATGCTCTTTTAATATCTAGAAACTTTATATACAAAATTTCTTCAAGTACACACTAATGCTTAGACCTTTTAATGATAGTTAAACTATAAAATAACTTAAGGCTAGTTCAAGCATACAAAACAAGAAAAGATGGGTTAATTGGAAGATTATAATGTACATATTTCTATGCACATTTTCTCTATTATGTGACCTAATCACTCTATAAAACCAAAAAAGGGACCAAACTAGTTGGTAAACTCTATAGTTTATTTGTTTTTCAATGTTTGCCTCTTTGACTTTAGGTATTAATTGCCAAAACCGACTTTGATATTGTAATAAAAATGTATAGAAAATTTTGAATCAACCAATTCTGTCATCCACATTTCTTAAGTTCACTTGGTGGTAGGTATTATTTACATAAAATGTTTGGTTTTTCTTTACTTCCCTAGGTTCAAAGTAATGTAAATTTTGACTTACAATAAAATGTATATTGTTTTACTATTTTTGTTGAAGAAAATTATACCTAACATTACTTGTAATGTAATTGCTCAAGATCAATTTTCTAATTGAATTGGGGGTTGGGGGGGGGGGGGTGTCGAAAAAGGATGGGTCAGTCCATGACACGTGGTTAAGTCAGAATGGGTGAGAAGATGATCGATATTAACCCGCTTGCCTTAAACCATTTTTTACAAATTTTACTGTTAATCAGAATGACGATTTTTTCTATAAAGATTAATCTAATTATCCAAATAGTTGGTCAATTTTATTTTTCTTACAAGCTTAAAAGTGGCATGAATCGAAACCAATAGAGTAAACAAGGATAAATTTAGGAAGAAATAGTGTGTAAAGTTTGAGAAAATGATTAAATACAAATAAGAAAAATGTTGTAATTACAATATACACAATCCAAAGCCAAGTAATGATATGATTATGTGGATGAATCGGTGTTGGATCGAGAGAAATTTGGAGTTGTCAAACATGCTTGCAAGGCTCTTTCAAGGTTATTTACAATTTCAGTCATTGTTGGTCGATCTCTACCTTCTAATGTAGTACAATCAGCTGCAAGATAACCTACATATGACACTGCCTCTATCTCAAATGGTGTTGGTGGTGGTACTCTACCATCCAACACTCTATGAATCTCATCTTGTACTATGTATGGCACGACAAAATCAACCACATTCCTTGGTACACCATTCTCATTCTTGTGAATCGCCTTGTAACCTGACAACAACTCTAGCATCATTACTCCAAAACTATACACATCACTTTTTGTTGTCAGTTGTTGCAATCTGTAGTACTCAGGGTCCATGTAACCCACCGTCCCCGCTGCACGCAAAGAAAGGTGTGATTCGTCCTCTTGTGGTCCCATTAGGGACAGTCCGAAATCAGACACCTTGGCGTTCCCATTGGTGTCGAGCAATATGTTGGATGACTTGATGTCTCGGTGGATGACAGCTGGGACTGCGTACTCGTGGAGGTACTCGATCCCACGGGCTGCGTCCAATGCTACCTTGATCCTAGCAGTCCATGATATTAGTGATGAGGTCTCAAGCTTGTGGAGATGGTCATGGAGAGTGCCATTGTTCATGTACTCGAAAACCAAGACACGTTCGTTGTTGTCTTCACAATAGCCAAATAGTGTAACGAGGTTCTTGTGATTGAGTCGTGACAAGAAGTCTAGCTCATTGAGGAATGCACTGTCTTTGTCCTCTTGTCTATACTTTGAACCACCAGCATAGGAAGATGAGGCTGAAGCCTCTGCCCTTTTTATGGCTACTTCGCGACCGTCGTCTAATGTAGCATGATAAACAGATCCAAAACTTCCTGTCCCGATTTTGTGCTCTTCGGAGAAGTTATTCGTCACTAGAAGTAACACTTGCAAGGAAAATTCTTCTAAGTGACCCCCATTTCCCATGCTAAGGAATTTACTTGGTCTTTTTTCCAAGATCGATGGATGAGGACCTAATTGATCTTGAACTTGAGATGCCTGGCTGCCTTGCTGTGGAGGTGTCCCGACCTCATCAAGGCGGCCAGAGTCGTGTACTCTGCATCCTCTAATTTTGCAATACTTGAGAAACATTATAACAAGAACACTCAACATCATTAAGGACCCAACACAACCTACCACTAGAAATGCCACATTTCTCGTATTCCACTGAGATGGCATTGGCGTTGGCTGTGGGGATACTGACGGTGGCGAAGGACCTGACCCGTTAACAATTGGGGGATTCTGACCAAATCCTGGCCAAACACAATGTTCACATATCATTAGTTCTTGAGCACAAAACTTAGCATAGTTATCTAAAGGTGCACAAGGACATGAAATGGTACATGGTCCTGGAACAACTTCTTCAAAGACTACTGGATTTGAATTGAAAATCTCATTTCCCCAACAGAACAATGAATAATTTGAGGTGGCAATGCCACAAAAAATATCTTGTTTTGCTTCTAATGTTTCAAAAGATATATCACTCAAAGTTGAAGGGAGACTAAAACCATTTTCACCCCAGCAAACCACTTTCCCATTAACCCTCAAACCACAACCCCTAGTATCACCTAAAGCAAGAGACTTGAATTGGTCAACAGGCTTTTCTACTACCATATTTCCCCAACAAGCCAAACTACCATTCATGGAGATGGCACAAGCATATTGAGAACCAGCTGCAATTTCACTGTAATTCCCTGAAGGAACAACATCAATAACATTTCTAAAGCTTCCTAGACATTGAATTTGACCCGATGGCAACAACCCACAAACAAAATCTTCTCCAACAGCAAGATTTGAAGTTATCAAACTGTTATTTGATGAACTGAATTCATGCCACTGCCAACACTGAAGCCTATTGGTTCCATTAACAATTCCACAAACATGGGAATTTCCAGAATCAAGATTTGTAAGCAATGGGCCAATATAAACCCTTTTATAATTCAAATCAGTCCCATTATTTGAAAACCTCCAACACACCATGATTGAATTAGAAGAAGAGGTTAACCCACAAAGGAAACCAATTCCACCCACAATTCCAGTAAAGGAAACAGAAGGGTTTAAAGGGATTTGAATACCCTGAGGGAAACTAGTACAATTGAGAGATGATTCTTGGGGATATAAGGAAGAGGAAATCAATGCACAAACTAATGTTTGATTAGAAGTTTTGGAAATGGCAATAGTGGAAAGTGAAGAAATGGGTTGGAAAGAAAGGGAAAAAATGAAAATTAAAGAAAAGAAAAAGTGAGTTTTTTGAACAAGAATGGCCATAGAAATGGTGAGATGAAAGATGCTTTCATGGTGTTTTTAGAGAAAGGGGTTTTTGTCAATGAGATGTTTGAACTAGTACCTTTAAGAAGAGGTGATTTGAAAGAAAATCAAAGTAAAGGAAAACGCGGATTTAGAAATGGCATATAGTGAGGACTGAGGACCAAAGACCAAGTCCCTTCATAAGAAATTTGGAAAAAAAGGGGCAAAGGGCCCGTATGCCTTCTTGAAAATCTTTTACTCAACTATTATTACTACATTACACAAATTATTAGTTTCATCCTCAGATTATAATAGATTTATTAAATTTAGATACTCTTTTGATCTACCACATGACATAACAAGTGGTCTCAAACTCTTATAGAAGTATGAGATTTTTCATAAAAAATCGAGAGAAGGATTGAAAACATCCCTAAACTTGATGAGAATTCAAAGTTGTATTTCACTCATGTTGTAAGATAGAGGTGTATTTAAGTTCAGTTAATCAAGTAACATGATTTTTTTAAGGCGGTCAATAGTTTGAGGTTCAAATTAATAGTTCGTGCAGAGTTTAAGGGTGTTTTTAATACTTCTCTCTCAATAATTTGATGTGTTTGGTATGAAGGAAATATTTCCTTGAAAATGTTATTTTGGAAACAAGTAATTTTCTTACTTATTTTTTTAGTGTTAGGTCAGTAAGCAAGAAAATATTACTTCAAGACCATTTATATGTTATCTATTAAAACAAACAATATGCAGACATGATTAAATAGATAGTGGGAGTTCAGGGTCGGTAAAGGGGTGGGGTTTGGGAGGATTAGGTGCTTAGGGAAAAAACAATAAACTTGAAATATCACTTATACAACTTATTTTCTTTATCTTAGAAAATATATATTTTTTCAAATATTTTGAACAACCAAACTTAAAACCTTCGAAGTTTCAAAAAAAAAAAAAAATCTTAAAAGGGAGGGGGGTGGTGACCTCTGCTTGAAGGTTAAAAATAGAAATAATAGGCAAATTTGGTCAATATAGCTTACTATTCTACGTATATATAAAATTGTTAGCTAAGTTGACAGCTTCCGTAGCGATATTTTCGGTCTCTATTTGGTTCTGACGTCTGACTGCACCATCAATTGTAACTTCATCCTCACTATATTAATTACTCCTATTTAATACTCAAATTGCTCTTATATATTCCTTAATACATGAAAATAATATACTATATTATTTTCCACTTTACTTTCAGAAAGTTTATTTTTTGTTGATGATGGCATCGCTTTCTCATTAGAGGAGATACGGAGCAGAGTGGATTGAACTCTTCTTCATATTTTGAAATACATATTTGCATAAGCAACACTTGTTCTATGTGACTTTTGAAGGTATAAATTAGCATAATTAACAAGCATTGTCGCACATATTGTGTTGAGTTTTCATTTCAGCTTATATATATTTTAATCCTCTACTTGAAATGTCAATGTATCATGTATGTATGATAAATGAATCATTTTCAAACTATCAAGGTTATAACGAAAACCAAAAAACTAATGTAATGTATCCCAAATATGTCAATTACAAAGGAATCATCTGTGATAATTGATATCCAATAATGTTTAATGAAGTTGTGTGCGAGGCGGCCTCTCGTGGGAAAAAAAGAGGTATGGAGCTAATTTTTATGCATTGATATATATTGTTTTTTCAAAAAAAGAAAAATATTTAGAAGAGTATATGTTATAATTCATATCAATTGAAGGTCATTTTTGACATTTTAAAAATGTTTGTAATAAATTAACTCATAGTTAGTCATTAATTTAAGATTAAGATAATTCATTGTCCCATTCAAAATGAAGAGGGTATTGTTTCTCAAATCAAAATATTAAGGGGGTAACGTGAGCTTTTACTCATAAAAGAATGCCTCACATAAGTATTTCTTAGTCAATAATTTTATAAATCATGTCTATAATCAGAACATAAATCTGACTCTGATCCAATATAGTATTTAATAAAAAAAAATACTAAGTGATTTAGAAATTTACAAAAACAAATTAGCAAAAATAAATCTATGACAATCATAACATTCATTACTGATCGTCAGAAATTCTCATAAAATAAATAAATTTCTTTTATCCAGAACCTGCATATATCGTCTAGTAGATACAAAAGGTGTGTTTTGTGTAAATCCTAATGGTCATATTATTGTGAAAACTTCTTTTTTTCTACCCTAATAATGATATATTTATATGCTAAAATTTTAGGAAGAGATAGAACTAACCATGAATAGACCTTACCAATACTCTATTATACTATTTAGGGGATGTTTGGTAGGGAGTATTAGGATATATATATATATATTATTTAGCACTATGTTATGTAGAAATTTTGGGCTTCTGTATAACTAATTCATGAATTAGTTATACATCCTACATGATATTAGAGGATGTATAACTAATACATTTCATTTGGTGGTATTAGAAATACATATGATTTAATACTATGAGATTAATCTAAGTAAAGATAAAAATACCCCTGAAATCTTTTTAATCATTTTATTTGTTTTCTTGATTTTATGTTTTATATTTATACTAGTAAATTTATTTAAATAAATTAGCTTAAAATTTTATTATTCAGATAGAGTTATTTTTTGCTAAATAAATCCAACACAAATTAATATCCTGTATTATTTGGAAATGACTTAAAAAGTAACATAAATCACAACTTAAAAATTTAATGCACACGTAGAAAAATTGGTTAACTCTGAAAATTATATCAATTCCACATAAATTGAGATAGAGAGAATAACATATATTATGTAAAATTTACGTAAAAGGAACTATAAATCACAATAATTAACAACTTAAAATATCTAAAAAAATTATATAAAAGTTCAGTCTGACTCTCTAAATTATATCCATATCACAGATAAAAAATACTCCTAACATATACCAACACGAGCTCTTGTATCTAGTTTATTTCTAACATGTACAATTGTTGTTCCTTTATTTTTTAATTATTTGATTGTGTTTCTTTTACTTATTTTCTCCTTTTCCTAACAAACATTTTAAACATTTTCTTTTATAAGTTCCATTTTTCAAATTTGTCGGTGCCTCGTGTGACGTAGACAATTACGTTGCGATTTGCTGTCCAAGAAAAAAGCTAATAAAAACATTAATAATAATTAAAGAAGAAGATGAATGTAATCAATACATTAATTGACCGATGAGTTTCTCTATTTTAATTATTAGTTTCATTAGACTTAATCCTTATACTGAAATAATTTTTATTTTTAACAAATCAAAATGAGTTTAAAATTCTCAACTATTCGTGGCAGAAATCTGGCTTCAGCCGTCATATCATAATTCGTTAAACCACATACTCCGTGTGTCCTATTTTAATTGTCATAGTTTTTTTTTTTAGAATTATACGATAAGAATTTTGATTAATATTTTATGATATATTTTTTCATCATATTAATATGCAAAAAATTGCAATTTACAGTACTTTTCGTATAATTTTGAATATCTAAATTTTTAGTTTACAATATCAAATTAATGTAATTTATAACTTTGAAAATTAGTCAAATTGACTTTTAAAAAGCACAACATAACAACTAAAAGGGGATGGAGAGAGTATTAAATTCTCTTGTAAATTCAAACATCAGCTACAATCAAACGACCCCTTGAACAAGTGGCAGAGCCAAAAATTTTAATAAGGGAATTCAAAATGTGAGAAGTAAACACACGAATTAGTGAAAGGGGGTTCAACATCTATTAAACACATTAAAAAATAATTTTAACCATATATAAATAGTAATATTTTCCGCCGAAGAGGGTTCGGATGAACCCCCTAAGTATATGTTGCCTCCCCCCTGCCTTGAACTAGTTAAGATTGAAAGTTGGATTATTATTTTTTTTGGAAAATTACATAACAAGGCAAACATGTAATATGTATTTACGATAAATCACTCTAGTTTAAAAAATTACAATCTATAACTATATGTAGGGTTTATAGAAAATTTCTCTCTCCTCTCTCCCTTGCATCTCTCTTTCCCGCCCAAAAAATATTCCACATAAATATATGATAATTGCATTTTGTATTATGTATCATATGTATTTGTATTCATATCAACTGTATTTTGTGTTATGTATCAACTCATGTATAAATATTTTGTATCAATTGTATTATGACAATTTCTATTCTGCCTATTGTATTTATCGACACAAATGTGTTCGTTAATACAATTGATACAATTATATTCGATATATGATACAAATCAATTGGATTCAAACAATTATATTTGTAATTTTATTTTGTATCAATTGTATTTGTGATACAACAAATACAATATGTATTCATCCTCTCTTCTCCCTCGTCTCTCTCCTCCCACAATGAATACAATTGTATTCATTTTGATTCAAATTAGTTGTATTAATTGTATTAGTGATACAACCTGATACAACGAATTCAACATGTATTCAACCTCTCTCCACTCTCTCCTAGTCTCGCTCGCCTCTCTCTTCCCTAACATGTACCTATAATTCGTAATTAAGCAAACTACAACTATAGATCTCCAATTCAACTCAAACTATAGTCATTTTTGAAGATTTCCCTTTTTTTGCGAAAATTTCTAAAGCGTGAAAAAAAAACTATGACCACCTTCCCGTTTTGCTCTCGAAACGGGACGGATACAAATTAATCGGGTCTCCTAAAAAATATTGGAAATCGGGTGAGAAACCACTCCCCCCCTCAAAAAAAAAAAAAAGAGTTCAAAATATAACATATATCTGCTTAAGCTAAAACATAAAACAACACTAACTAAGTAGGATGCTGAAAATTCAAATAGAAGGATCCAACTAGTCAAATAGTCAATTTTCAACTAATTGAAATATTGACCAAATATCAATTTTAGTTCTGATGTCTTTTTCTTTGATCACGCCCAATTATTGCCTAAAATGAGTAAGTGGTCAGTCAGAAACATAGATAATACTCCCTCCGTCCACTTTAATTGTCTTAATTTCTTTTTTTTAGAGTTTAATTATAAAAAAATTGATTAGCATTTTATTATATATTTTTTTATCATATTGATAAGTAAAAAAAATACAATTTA